TGTCATGTATTTTAATTAAAAAATTTTTTTTATTTTAAAAAAAGGCATTCTAATTTAGTGGCTCCCTTATCTTCTCTTTCCTTTCGGAGGATATTGATAAGTGTTTTATAGTTTTCTTCTGCTCTGAGCACTGCCTTTATTTCTCCAAGTTCCTTTCTTCATTTGCTTTTCTGTATCTTTGTCTTTCATGTTAGAGATGTTCTTTGAATGTCTAGTGATCCTTGGATGTCTGTCTATTTCACTGTGTGTCAAAAAAAAGCTCATGCATGGCAGAAACCTTTACTGTGGGGTGATCTGGTGGGGACCCAGGTGCTATGTTTGGGAACCCCCAAACATGAGTGTCTGTAGGTATCTTCTCCTGGGTCTGTTTCCTCAGAGAGGAATATTCTAGTCTCCTGCTGGGGTGTGGGGCCGGGTGGGTTCTAAGCTTGACAGCTAAGAACTCTGAGTCTCGCAGCTCAGCAGCCCTGTGTTCTGTCAGGCTCTTCATGCCATTTTCAGCTTCGACTAGTGCCCCCACCTCCAGTGCTCCTCTGACTCACCCTCTCCTCAGAGTACCTCCCGTCTTCTGTGGGCGGGGGGAGAAGAGGTAACCTGCCCACACGAGCTGGACAATGGATCTAACCTCTCCTAATGACAGACTTTCAAACACTGCTGTTTTCCCAGCCATACTCCTGTCATCTGAGGTGTCTGGTCTCTCGAATTCCCAAGCCTTTCTTAGGGTCCATAGCACAAATCCTTACGGCCACTCAGCAGAGGAAACAGACACCTATCAGTTATTTGTCAGGATGGATCAGGCTCTGCTATGGTAACAAGCCACCAAACCCCCCACGTTGATTCCTCTCTCACACTGCACGTCCACAGGGTCAGCAGGGAGCCCGGCTCATCAGGGTCACTCGGAACCCAGGCTGATGGAGGCTCTGAGTCTTGTGACCTGAGGCTTCAGGGGGAGAACTCTGCTCACTGCTCCTATTTCATGGGCCAGGCCTAACGTCTAGGGATTGAGAAAGGATGGTACAGTCCTCCCTGTGCTCAGCAGAAGAGGACAACTGGAAATATTGGGGAGCACTAATGTCCCCAAATTTTGTTGTTCTCAGCTGCTGCTGTTTCCTCTGTTTCGTGGCGCTTGTGGTTTTACATGTTTTTATTATTTTACTATCATTTTAGTGTAGCTTTAAGAGGGAGCGGAGTTGAACACCATTTCAAGCTGCAGAACACACCAAAGTAGCCAACACCATCCAATTAATACTGTGTGCTGCTACCCTCCATCTCTCTGATCCCACCAGGACTCTGTTCTCCACTTTGTTGCCTAAAAAGAGGTTGCTAGGCGGTGGAACTTTTCAGAACTGGGCATTCATTAGCGGTATTTTTCAAGAAGGGGGCTGGGAGGCAGTTTTCAAACACATATCTGGAAAAGAGAAAGTCTTTACTAGAAGCAAAGAATTAATAAGTATTTTTTAAATTTTCAGAAAACAATTATTTTCCCTCCATGCTGAGCATCTCCTTTGTGTTCAATAAGTTCTCGCTAATGAGCAACCCTATCTTTGCATCTGTACAGGTCATCAGCAAGCAAATGCCAGCTTGCGCCAAGTGAAGAGGAAAATGCTCAAGTTCCGAGGGAATTAAAAGTCGTGTTAGAAGCAGACGGAGCTATCAGCAGTTATCTCTGGCAAGTGGTAACACAGGCGTTTTTCGTGTGCTTCACTATAGCTTCTGGTCATGCCAATTTGAGAACGCACTGCTTTTGGAATAAGAATTGCGGGGCCACTTCCCCAGGTCTGCTGACCATAACCACAGCAGGGCAGCCCTTTTTTTTTTTTTTTAAACCATACCTGTGCTAATAAAAGTTACTAGTTAAGTCTCAAACCCGCCGCTATTATATGGGGAAAGCGTCCAGAGAATACTTTTCTTTAAATTTAAATAAATGATTCTTAATCGTTTATATGCTTAAGAATCGCAGGGAGAATTTACAAAACAATATAACACAAAGTCAGAAAACAAACAAACAAACAAAAAAACCCCCCAAATCCCAGCTCACTGGGCTCCACTTAGGACTGGTTTGGAAGGGAAAGGCAGTAATCTGTATTTTTAACAAGTACCTCCTGGACAGACTTCAGACCACACTGCTTTTAATAGTGCTTCCCATTTTCTACCTGGAATGAGTATGCAGTAAATATTTTTTGATGCTGAGGTGTAAATCAACAGAATGTGTATATTTATATACTTCCCCCCCAATCCCACCCCCCAATAACACCATCAAAGAAGTAGCAAATAAAGGTCTTTCCCATAAAAACACATGACAGATGAAGCAAAATACACAAATTTAAATGGCTTACAACTGACTGGTGGGATATTTTAAGGCACAGGTTTTGGGGTTTGCTTGGTATTAACTATTCATAAGCCTTACTTACCTATTTCTTAGCATCAAACCTAATTTCTGACAGTGTGGGTTTCTAAAGCATCACCTGATATTCTATAATTAATTCTACCATAGAAATGAAGGAGAGGATTAAGTGGTTATCTATAATAATAAAAGTATGATATGCTAATTATACCAGATGAAGGACGACCTTCCAGTTGACCTTCTGGACGAAGCCACTATGTTGGGGGCCGAGGCAGAAGCAGTCACAGTGGTGGGCAGGGGCCTACCCCTTGCATGATTTTCGTGCATCGTGCCTCTAGTCTTAGTATAAATGAACAGAAGGAAGACGCCCCCTGTCCCAACCCTGCCCTTTGCAGGCTGTGCTAGGGGTTCATCATGAGGCTGCAGGGACAACATGGTTTTGCTGGTCATTTTCAGGAGCTGGTACATGTGGGAAAGCTGAAGGAGGAGGCCAGCATCTGGACTTAACACTCCTGCAGTTCTTCCCAAGTTTCTAAAAGAATGTAGAACCCAGCTTCTTGCCAGCTCCCCGCTTTTGAAAACCGGCTCCGTTTCCACTTCATTTGCAAAATGCTTGCTGCAGTCCCTCCCTCCTAGCCAAGAGGAACCTGGAAATGCTGGAGGTCAAGGGGAAGTCTACAGGTGAGCACACCTGTTTTAAACCTTTTGGATGTGAAGTCTGGAAAACAGGAGAGAGAGATACAGGACATCGTGGAACTAACTGACCCAATGCTGCCCCCTTGCTGTGGGGGAGCACGAAGATCTTTTCCTACAGGTTTCCAGCCTTCCCTTAAAAGTGCAGGAGATTTAATCAGCCAACAGCAAATGTTGACTGTTACTAAAAGAGGTAGCGAGCCATACCTCTGACCTGCACAGCCCTTTCCGTATAAGTAAAATGAACAGCTTCCAATAATGGTTTCTCCCTCCAAAAGGTATACTGAGAAATAGCCTAGTGCACTCATAAAATGAAGAATTAAATGAAATTGAATTTAACCTCCTGACCCTTCTTTTACTCCAAGCTCCCATTTTAAATGAAATTGCTTAAAACATTTTCAGGAGAATAGAAAGTGAGAGCCAGAGCAGAAAGAGGATCTTTATAGCTAGGTAGTGGGGCAAAGGTTAGTCTTCTTGGTGTATTTTGAATAGATTGTGACACCCAAGCTTGCCATGTTATCAAATTTCATAGGTTTTTTAAAAATGAAAAGTAAAATGTCAACATGGACAGCAATAGCTTTTGGTAGCTCTTCACAAAGAAGCACAATTCAGTTTAAAACCAAAAACATGTCTTTTGTGACGTGAGAAGGACGCCCTGGTACCTTAAATTAAGCACTTGCTGAAAGCCACAGTGAGGAACAGGTGGGCGAAAAACGGCAAAAACTCTGGCAGGAAAGGGCTCCACAATCTTTCCTCAGAGGAGGCCACACTAACTGTCCCCAACCTGTCAGAGGTTGCTTTACATCAGTGGTTCCCAAATTGTGGTTCTGGGACCAGCAGATCAGCATCACCTGGGAACTTGTTAGTGACATTGTCGAACTTCACCTGAGCCCCGTGAACGGCAAAAGTTAAGAGTCCCCCACCAAAGTGTTTCCAAAACGGCTTACTACAAAGAACCCCCCATATGACTTAGATAAGACTCCCTGCTTACTGGTACCTATGACAAAGCCAGACACAGACTTCCAAGTTCTCATTCTTTATCTGACAAATGATCAGCTGAACTTTGGATTAATCAGAACAAAATGCTTGTAAACCAATATTTGGTTAAGCTCCTCTCCTTTCTCCAGGTCCTTGAACGCTGGCTAGTCAACAATCCCTCCTCAACAACCTCTCAGGACAATAGGCTGGTCTCAGGTTAAAACATTTTCTCATCTGCCATGCTTTCTGCCCACTTCCTCATACCCATCCTTTCCCGCCTTGTTTACTCTTCCCTATAAAAGAAACCCCTTTCTGCCAAACGCTAGGGACTCCTGCAGATCTCAGAGTCAGAGATTACCCTATTGCTAGTCCACCCTCCATGTCCCCGATTACAATAGTACCTTTCTCCCCTTTGCAATACTCCTTTCCAATAAAGGCTTTCCTCATTCAAGCAGGACTACAAATTCTCAGGCCCCACCCCAAACCTTCTAAATGAGAAAGGGTGGCGGGAGGGCATGGGTGGGGGCGGGGTGCGCCTGGAAATCCATTTCTGAACAAGTGTTTTAGGAGCAGCCCGAGAACCACTGATTCACAGCAATCCCTCTATGGCAGCGGTTCTCAACCTTGGCTGCACATTAGAATCACCTGGGAATCTTTTTAAAATCCTGATTTCTGGGCCTCATCCTCGGATGAGGGTAGCTGGGCCTCGGAGGATGAGGCCCAGAAATCAGGATTTTAAAAAGATTCCCAGGTGATTCTAATGTGCAGCCAAGGTTGAGAACCCCTGCTCTATGGTCTTATAAGCTCACTTAACACTTTAACTCCCAACCACCTGTGTTTCACTCGCGCTTACGTGCAAGCTATTTTTGAGGCTGACGGTGGACACATGTTTAGCATTCCCACAGACCATCTATCTCCTGGTCACTTCCCAATGACAAGCAAGGCCACACTGCACTCGTCTCCTCTCCTGGCCGCGCGTACTTACGTCTCCATCCCCAGGCCTCTGGTCATCGCAATCTCTGGTGGGGCTGATGTCCTGGCGCATGACCCAGATGGGCTCTTTGGGCTCGTCGGGGGTGTAAGGCGAACGGATGGTCCTGGTTTTCACCTCCTCGATGGCCTCCTTAATATCCTTGATGGCCAGCGAGATGGCATCCCTCTTCTCCTTGCTATACCGCTGCACCGCTTCGCCCACCACGGTGCCCGCCACCCGCT